TCAAATAATCGAGATCTCAATTTCAGTGAAAATAATCGTGATTATCATTTTTGCCATAATCGAGCAGCCCTACGTCAGAGGTACTCCTTCAGAACATCAAGAGGCCCTGCTGATGTCATAGTGACCACAGTTACCTTTTATATACACAATCTATAGAAGTGCCCAACATTCCTCATTCAACTTTACACAATCCAGGGACTCAAAATAACAAATATGCAAGTTTGTAATTACACTGAACTGTCACCGAGTCGAGTTGCAAGGTGGGAAAAAGTGCGCCAAGCATCCATCACGAGTCTGGCAAAAATGCCGGCACTGCAATACTCAAAACTGTGGCGCGCTTCTCTAAAGAAAAGAAATCCAAGAAAGACGAGGGAAGATAATAGCAGTGATTTACTCCAACTGGACCAGGCCATCTAATAAATGGGTTAAAGCTTTTATAATGGACTGAGACAAAGAGTGCACAATAATAGCGGACCCAGGATTCAACACATGGATGTTATCTTGAATGTTTTATGAGTGCAGAGTTATTACACTGTGCTTCTAAATCAAGAAAACATAATAGGCTGGAGTAACAGAAAAGTGGACCATGTCACAGGGATGAAGGTTTAAACAGGACTAGTGATACATTGTTTCCATGCCTATGTACAGCGTGTGTCTTGGTCTCTAAATATACCTAAACCTGCCTAAAGAAATTTGTGGAAATACAGTCACACTGGCACCGCCTCCTCATGATGTGTCCCATTCTTCAACCAGCATTTGTCATAAGTCAGTGTAATTGAACAGCACGCTCAAGTTGATCAAACAAGTATTCAGTGGGGTTGATGTCATTACTGCCGGCATGCCACACCATCCACTCCACTCCCAAATTCTGGATGGAGTCTCTGATTTGCAGGGGCGAGCACAAGCAGGATCTGGACTCATGGTTGAACATGGTGTTCCTCCACATGTTCAGGTTCCAGTGCACATATTGGTGACACCAGTGCAAACATGCCTGATGGTGAAGGGCTCGGGACAGGCCGCCACAAAACCGGAGATTGCATGGAGTCTGTTCTACATCATCTGGGTAGAGAGCCGATGTCATCCTGCAAATCTGTAGAAGACTGTTAACAGTTCTTAAGTGCTGACAAGGGAGGAAAATAGTCTTCTTGGGACGCCAACTTCACCGCCTTTCTCTGACATCCTCCGTTATCGGAATCTTTGTCTTCAATTTGGAGATTGTACTAGAGCTCACTCCAAATAATGCTGCATCTTGGTTCTGCAGCTTGAAGTTGTCCTACAGCGCAAGCACCAAATCAGTCAAACGTGGCATGTTTGGATTAGACACCAACTGACCGCTGCAGCAGGGTCCATTAGCTTGCCAAGTTGGCAAGTTTTTCATGGGCGGAACAAATGCACTTTCCTTACAAGTGGTACCATTTAAGGAAAAATAAACAAGATTTCCAACTGTATAATATTTATTCCCAAGAGGCTTTTTGTTACAACAAAAAGAAATTGACCAAAGACAAATTTCCTTACTATTTGTGCCAGGTTTATTTTGATCTACCTCAATACGTCTGACAGCAAGCCAATTCAACCCCACTGTGGAAATGAGGATTCATTTAAAAATTAAATAAATAACGTTCAAACAGCTGGGCACTGTAGTGTTTACCAACGGTGATTCAAACAGGAGTAATTAGTGCATTAATAAAGGATGCAGATTTAGTGCACGAGTGAGTATTTTAAACACGAGGAAAAGCCAATGCAGTGTGGCTAATTGATGCATTTTTCCCCAGTTTTTGGACGACGGCACCATCATCCCGGCCATTTCTTCTTTTAAACAGTGTTACTGTGTGCAAATATGAAGCCATGAGAGCCAAGCGTGATAATGTTGCCAATTGTAAGCCAGCAAAGTTAATTTTGTGCTTTATTCAGACAAAAATGAGCAAAAATGAAATGCTTGCTGAGAACTGTCACTCATCGAGACGCGCCTATTGAACTGCTCCAAAATCCCAGCCGATGTTAGAGGCACACAAAGCTTTCAGTTCCATGATAAGTGGAGGTACGGTTTTTGAGTAATTGCATACTTGGTAACAGAAGCGATGTGAAAATATTTGTTCACGTGCGCAGACAATAACAACAATAAAGCTTTGTACCTTTATCCTATCCATGCAGGCCTCCATCTTCAGTTGCTCCACAGCTTTCCTGGCTTGGGAGATGCTGGCCGTGCTGTTGTTGGCGATGCCGTCCTTCATGGTGCTCCTGTGACGCCAAACAGATGCAAGGGGGGGGAGAGACTCAGTGAACGTCACATCAAATCAGCACCCCCCTGGCGACAGCTCTACCCTGATGGAGCAGCTACTCTACTACAACCTCGCCCCCACCCGCTCCTTTTTACACAGTGAAACTTGGAAGGACCCATTTTGTTTGTCCATTTGTTATCTGAAGAAGCTGCTCTGTGGGCATCAGCTGGACAGCGGTTTGTCATTTTTCAGCCAGCGCTCATGCATGATTGCTTTTCTTCCTTTGTCACGTTATTATTTAGACCAACTGGCTGGGGGGGAGGTTAGCAAGGAGTGGAGGGCTGGGAGGGATTAAGAGAGAGCGAGACACACACACACCTAGTATTTTGCTCAAGTGCTCTTCAGCAGGAGTTTATGCTGGTACACCTAGAAAAGCAAAGCACCTGCAGCTTCTCCCCAGTTCCTCCCAGGATCTGCAGATCTTTCCACTGCTGGCCTTCCTCCTCAACTTTCACCTCAAGAGAACATCAGCTGCAGCTCTGCAGATCAATTCTCGCAATCACTACATCTTACTCCCATTTTAGCCTCCTTGAGCCACCCCCACCCACTCACTCACTCACCACTGAAATGTCCCAGTTTGGCAGCCACGGCAAAAATGTGCCCACAGATGTGTTTTCTAATAATTTGCCTTAAGAAATGAAGCATTTCACTGGAGGTGAGGGGTTGCTGAATCAATCCCCCTTTCTATGATAATATGCATTATTATTATTGCGCATCTATTCTTTGTTTAAAAAAAAAAAAAAAACCACACAAAAAATGTATTTATCTTAAAGCAGACTGTCGAAGACGACAAATTCATCTGCCATCCCTCCAGCCTCCACAGCTCTACGGCCAATTTATAGCTTTTAAATCACACCCTCGTAGGAAGCCATCGGGCCTTCTCCGTTTAGGTTTGCTTTGGATGCATCCATCCTGAGGGTTGCTCGGCTGTATTCGCCCCTGTGCAGTTTTATCCAAATGCAACGATGCTGCTAATTGCTGATGCAGATCTGTGAAAACGCGTGCGACTATTTATTTCTAAGAGGAGATTAATCTGTGGACACACAGCGAGCTGCGGCCCTGGTTAGAGCAGAAAACAGCAAACCATGCATCATGTGGGGGGGAAAAAGGAGCAGCAATGATTTTTGCACTGATGATAAACATTTTGAAATAAATCCCTGCATTGGTCGGATACGCGCTCATTAATGTAGCCTGCAGCCGCCGACCTACCTGAAATGTGCCAGTGGTTTTCCAATTTGGGAGAATTCCGGGTTGACTCCACCCAACACACACAGACACACACACGCGCGCACACACAAAGATCTGTCAAATATGAAACGATAAGAGGAAATCCCAGCCTCGCTTCGGTCTGGACTGAACCCGAGGAGCCAAAAATCTCGGCGTCTTTAAATGTCGCCTCGGCGGCTCGCTCAGTGCGTATTCCGTGTAGGAAGATGAGCTCCAAGCGGTGAGGTCTTGGTGAGCACCACGGCTGGACTTGGAGAGATGTTACGCAGCAGCAGCAGGGGGGGAAACCTCTGTATGACGATCAGATACAGGCTGTGGGGCGGGGAGCACTCGATCAGTGGACCAGGAGCAGCAGCAGCAGGGAGCCGGGATGAGCTTCAGCTGTCCAGAGTGGCCGTAAACGCACCGACGCTGCCTGTTAGTCAAATTAGGAGCGGCTGATTCTAATTAGCTTGATTGCTGCATAAGGCAGCGCAGGTCTGCAGGCTTTCCCCGTATCGTTTATTATTTTATTTTCTATCAGCTTTGACATCACCGTGTCCCCCTGATGGCCTCACCCTTAACGACTGCACGCGCTCTTAAGCGTGGCTTGCATCCTGATAACTTTTAAAATTTTAATTTGTTTTTCCTGTTCGTGCTTCCGATCTGATTTGTGCAGTACGACACGAGTTTCTGCTTACTTTATGTCCCTGAACGCAACCCCTCCCCCAACACACGCACACAAAGAAATGGACACAATCAACACGACGATAATATTTCTTCAAATATTTATAGATTTTTATATATTTATAATATGCTTATCACTTGGTTCATTCAAACACGTACACGCATACAAACAAAACTAAACATTAGGAACCTTCAAGATGCCAAAAATGCAAAGGAAAAAAACAGAAAACTAGCAGGAGGGGCCAAAATACAACTTAAGCAACCTAAAACGATGATCTTAAATTATGCATAGCTTTAAGTCATTAACAGAAATATAATATTTCCTTCCGTCAGAAAATCTGTCACATTTTCTACCTTTTACATTAAAAAACAAACAAACAAAAAATACATACAAACACACATTTGGGTTGAGAGGTTGTGGTTCACATAAAGTTTTTCATACATTTCATAGAGAAAATCAGTAAACAAACACAGTAACATCATGTCCACGTAGGATCAGGAAGAAAAATAAATCAGGTCGAAGCGAAAAGGAATGAGTTAACAAGAAATAATCCCTTTCTCAAGTAAGTGTAAGACATTAGTCGTCACCGGGTGCTGCAGTCACCACAAAAGGGAATAAAAACTAATTGTTTCACAGCTGTCTTAGAAAAAGAAACGAAATGAACCCTGGTTTCTTCCCACATGAAACAAGGTACCAAAAACATGACCTATTGCATGTCTGTGTCTGATATTGCTTTCTGGATTTGATTTATTAGTGGAATTAAATCAAGCTCAGTTTGTGTTAAGGCCACAGATCATTGGCTCTACTTAAACTGAAGTAGCTGAGGGGGAAAAAAAAGTGCTTCTGATTCTCGTTTAAGAAACCGTGAAGTGCAGTAACGTAAGTGGGAATGTAAAGAAAGGCTACATGGATCCTGGAGTAGGTTAAGAAAAAGAAACAGCTGCTCGGCCGTTTCCCAGACCGATGTGTGTAGTGTATATGATATCAGCCGACGCGACGCTCTTTACTAAACCCTCCCACACCCACTGCACCCTTTTAGTAATGCTGCACAGGTGCTAAGTAAGTGTGGGAGATCAGTGAGGATCACGGAGCATTCAGGAAGTCACTCTCTCCTCCGCCTTCTTCCTCCTCCGACTGCAAGCATCTAACAGTTTGTTAATTGCTTTCTCAAAAAAATAAATAAATCAGCCCTGTAAAGTAGTGAAAAGTGGTTCTTGTGCATTTAAGCGACGGGCAAGACAGAGATGAGCCTCCATGGTGTTTTTAAAGAGCAAATGGGCTGGTTTAACTAAGGGAAGCCTTAAAACAAGGAGCATTGCAGCAAATGTTACATCCACATTCACACAGTCAAGGGCAGCATCGTCCTAGCATGCAAAAGCAGGACAGAACAACAGGCACCCACAAGGTCCCCTCGGTCCGTCAACTGAGGTCAGACACAAAGTGAAGCAGGTCTGTGACTCTAGCGTTCAGATCTGAGTGGAGCAGACAGCGCGGCGGAGGGACGTCTCACTCCCGCAGAGCGGGACCTCTCCTGGCGACAGACGCGAGGAGGGGGCTCCCTTCCCTTGCAGCCACTGCAGCGTCAGCAGGACGCGTTCACTGAGCTGGGGCGGCGATCTGTCAGACCGCACGCTGCAGGAGATGTGAGCGATGTCGAGGTGAAACACGAGGGTCTTCACACTTTGAGTCTGGCTTTGTCCAGACCATAGCAGCTTACCAGGAAACGGCTAAATCAACACCAGCCAACAAAAACACATCAGCAGGAATTAAAGACTCGACAAATGAAACACTCTCAGAAATACATCCTGTATAAAGTGTCTGATGCAGCCTCAGCCAAATACTCAACCATTCCTGCAAGAGTCCATTTTAATGCATTTATAAATATATACTTATCTACATATAATACTATTTTCATAATCATTTCTTGATGCTGGGAGTGGCGGCGGTACAGTTTGCTCTGCTGGGGATGGCTTTATTTAAAAGTCAGGGAGGGTTCAGAGAGTTTGAGGACATGCTGACATGTCCTCCTCTCTGTCAGTGCAGACAAGAGGAGGAGGAGGAGGAGGGGAGGTCCTCTTGCTGAGAAGTGGACAGGCGCAAACATCACACAAACACTCATCCTGCAGCATAGCTGCTCAGGAAGGAGTAGAACATGGGCAGCTTCATGCGCTGCTGGTCCCGTCGACACCACGCCATCACCGTGCCCTCGCTGTTGGCCGTGTAGAGGTGGTGACCATCACACGAGTACGTCAGGCTGAAGCAGACACGAGAGGAGACTGTTAGACTTAAAATGCTGACGAGCATACAGGCGTGGCATAAAAGTACAAAGAGAACAGCGCGCTGTAAACAAACCTGATGATGGGCTTGCTAGACTTGGGAAATGTGATCTCTCTCACTGGTTTCAAATCCCAGGTGCTCCATAACCTGAAAACATATCAGAGATTAAAAAAATAATAATAATAAACAGTGCAGGGAGCGGGATGTCAAACTCATTTTACATCGTGGGCCACATGCAAGCCCAGTGGGCCGGACAAGTGAAGCTCCTGTCAATCCAAAGACATTTAACTACACATTTAATTCCTGGGATCTCTTAATATGAGAAAACCAGCAGTGCAGTTTCAACAGGACATCTGGGATTTTCTACATGACAGAAATTCTGCTGCAGTAAAACAAATCTGTCAGCACGACTCCTTGGGCTTAAATTATAAGACATAAATGTGTAAAATTACAATGTTCTGGTAGCTCTTTGCTCAGACTGCACTCCAAGTATAAACGTTTTTGGTCATTCACAGACAATTTCCTATTTTATTCTCCTTTTTTTAAAAACTTCTGAGCTATTGTAAAATAAATAAATTCTATAGCAGAGAGTGAAAAACAGGAACTTTCTGTCATGTAATATTTACTTATTTACAGTTAGATCCATAAATACTTGGACAGACAACTTTATTCAAATTTTGGTTTGTAACATCATCACAATGATTTTTAAATGAAACAACTCAGATGAAGTTGAAGTGCAGACTTTCAGCTTTAATTCAGCGGGTTGAACAAAAAGATTGCATAAAAATGTGAAGAACTAAAGTATTTTGAACACAATCCCTTCATTTCAGGATCTCAAAAGTAATTGGACAAATTAAATAACTGAAAATACAATGTTCGTTCTTATAACTATATATACTTCTATGACTATATTTAAAATATGTTTGAGTAAACATGTAAAAAACCAACCTTGTGTCAGCGTCCATATTTATATGGACCTAACTGTATTAATTACTTTGGTGAGTGGCCATGGAGTGGATCTATATGAGAAGGAAAAGCTGAAGTCGAAATAGTATTCCCTCCTCCGAAATTTCCAAAGCCGTCTAGTGGAACAGGACACAAACGTAACGGCAAAAGAAAAGTTTTGCCTACCTGACGACGCCATTCTCCAGCCCACCAGCGATGACGTTGACAGACACGCCCTCCGGCTGGTTGGAGAAAGCCAGAGAACAGATGATCTCTCTGCAGTGGACATGCCCAATCAGGTCCCCGTTCACCGTCCACAGGCGAAGGTCGCTGCCTCCTCCCTCTGGAAACAAAAGAAGAGGAGCCATAACTCACACCAAGGACCAGAAGACACTTCAATAACCAGAAGATGAGACGCGATAAACACTCTGGTTATAAAAGAAGACGCCCGCCCCCTCATACCTGAGTCACACACTGTTGCGATGTCCCCTGTGGTCTCGCTGGCAGACACAGCCATCACCGGGCTTTTGTGGCCTGTGAGACTCTGTACATAACAGAGTCTGGAAAACACAGAAGTACTCAGAAACCACACAAACACTGCATAATGCAGTTTCTTCTTCTTTAAAAAAAACAAAACATAAAAACCTTTCACACACACTGACCTGTTCAGGTCCCAGAGGATGCAGGTGCCATCATTGCTCACACTGATGAGGATGCTGTAAGGTTTGCAGACAAACAGGCTGGTGACTTCGCCCGTGTGCCCGTACAGGTGAACCTGAGATTCCACCTCCATCTCTGATGGCTGTGGAGGGAAATACATGTTAGAGACCACACAGAAGAAATACAGATCTAAATGTATCTGTGACTCTTATATATTGTGTCTTGCTTTTTCCTAAAAATCTCCATTAATTAAAGTCAAATTGCCTCTCGGTAGTTGCTGGAAGTCCAGAAAAATGGCAAATCCACATGTCTACTGGTGGGGACTGACGAGGTCTGAAAGCCTCTCTGATGACTGAACTCTGAGGCCTCTAATCCCACTTATGGGCTCGGTGGAAATGCGTTTCAAGGGCAGCTGTGATGTGACTAATGAAGCTGAGCGTTTGAGCATGGTGAGGCTGCCTAAAGAAGAGGACGGGGGTGGGGGTGGGGGGGTGTAATCGGCGGTGGGTGGGCGGTTTGGGTGTTCGTGTGCAGGCGGAAGGTTAGAGGGGGACGTTGCCATGGAAACGCACCGTGGTGCTGGTGAAGCGGTTGCTGTAGGCGGTGATGACTCCACACTTGCTACCCGTAAATAGCTGGCAGCCATCGGGCACCCAGGCGCAGCTGGTCACCTGGAGGAGAGGGAGACGGACGGTTGGATGGAGGAGCGCACACCAAAAGCCAGATAACTCTTATATAACAGGTGGTCAGGATTTGTCGAAGCATAAACTGATGCGTACCTGGTGAAGCTGTGAACACTGAATGAAGTTGATAGGTGGCTCGCTCTGCTTGCTCTTCAGCCTCAATATGTTGTCCGCGTAGCCCCAGCTTAAGATGGCTGACCACTGGATGTCTGTGCTGTGCATGCTCCGCACACCTGCAGA